CACAGGTTGAGGTCTTTTATGTCAAGTATCAGGCCAGGGAAAGCAGTAAGCTAATGAGAAAAAACCACCAACAAAAAAACCAAAAAACAAACCAAAAAACAAACCACAAAAGCAAATGAATACAAACATTTGAATAATGAATTGAACAGGTGAGCTGACTGCTCCAGCAAGCTTGTAAATAAGCACAACTAGTTTGTGGACCATTTAACATGCTCAAACCATTTTGCAGCATAATTAGGCAATTGAGGTGAATACACGTTTTTTCCTCACAAACAGTTGACCAGAACCAATCTGGCATTATGTTATAACATGCATGTGCATATCCGCATGCAGATACACATGTGCACACGCACACACACTCAGCTTCTTTGCATAAAAACAGGTTTTTGGGGGTTTGGTTAATTAAAAAAGGAAGTCTACCCCTCCCCCCCACAGTAGCTCACCTTTACAAATGAAACTGCCCACTTATCCCCACCAAACCAAACGCAGTGCGAGAAAGCAGCAAACCCAGCGCCCCCAACAGCTTTGTACGTTAGGTAGTTTTTAGCCCGGGGAAAAGAGGGTCCTGTATGCACTGGACTTTCCTAGCACAAAGCTTGCACCTTTAAGGCCACTCCAGACGCATATTCTCTAAAATAAATACTTGAGCAACCTTAAGACATCCAAAACCCACATTATGATTTAGGCTGTGCTGAAGACCAGTTTGGTTTTACACACAAATGAAGAGCTCCAAATCCTATCCCTCCCTGCCTTTTTTTTTTAACTCTAATGTGCTGTGTATTACCATCATACAGCTTGTTTCCCCTCCACCCCAAAAAATGAGAATAGCTTCTAGTCTATCATACACGGCCTTCGGTGCCTTAACGTGTGAGTCAACACCTGAATAGAAGCTGAGTGTTGGTTCAATAGCGTTTGTGTTTTACACAGAAATCAGTTAATATAAAATACAGCCTCGCTGTTAAGAGAAGGTAGTCAACAGAAGCCTTAACCTATGAGAATGAGCCATTACTATTCCTCCCCCCTCCCAGTGTACTTTACTCTCTTGCTTTTCTCCCTGTGAAACTTGAGGCTTTTTCTGGCACAGCATCCAGGGGAGGGGTATCGCTTACAAAGTTTTAGAGCAAAGTGGCATCTGCTGCATTAAGCAGAGGGAGGCTGCTGGATTTAATTCCCGCAAGCAGTGCTCGTCCATTGCCCTGTCCCTATGGACATGTATGTATGTAAAAAGCAGGCACCACTAACCACTCTTCTTCCAGCACCTGCTTACAAGTGACAACAGCACTAGCACCCCTCGTGGATTTGGCCACTTGGAGCATGTCCTCCTTTCCGGACCCCTGTAGGGCTTACGTATGAGTTCTGCTGTAAGCTACTTCACCCTACCACAGGATGAGGAGAGGGTCGGCAGGGATCAGGATCCGTGCAGGGATATAATGCTGAGTATTTGAGGCGCTTATATAAAAAAGTGAGGCTCTCATGAGACTGACAAACAAGCTTAACCTTAAAAAGGTTAAACCTGCTGTCTCTTGAGCTGGCCTTCTGTTATTTCCAGAAATGGAGAGGGGGAGGCGGGGGATGGAACAAGAACTTGCCATAACAATCTATTGTAAGAAGTTGGGGGGGGTGGTCAGCTGCATTAGAGTAATCTTGCTACTGTTTCCTCCCAATTAAAGGCACTTCTAAAGCTACTGCAATACCATATCTACAGTAAATGTTTTAAGGTTAACAGTGCATTGTCCTGAAGTTGATTCCTATAGTCTAAAGTCAAGCTTATGACAAAGAGCACAAATCTGACTAATTGTTAATGAATACATTTTGGGGAGAGAAAGAAAAGGGAACAACCCCTCCCACAGATACACACTGCATTAACACATATGTAGGGTGATAAATCACAGAACATTAGTATGTATGTATGCATATAAATATGCTTCCTGAAGAGGCAGTCTGATAAAATAGTTTGTTCCCAGATTGCAGCTGTCAGTCTGTGTCCACTGCACCTACTACTTTGTTTTGCCAACCTGTTTTGACACAAGAGTCACTTGAGTCACTGGGAAAAAAGATATTTCAAGCAGAACCCTCATTAATGACCACACCAAGCCTTTCAATTAGCTAATGAAATGCTCCATCGCATATAATGAGCCAAACCACAAAAATACAGAAGGAATTAGGGACCAGAAGCCCTACCAGATGAGAACTACTGAAGACAAAGTTGTGCGATTTGAAGCATGACTCGCTTTGCTTTTAAACATTTGTGCAAAACTTACGTAATGTTTGTATATAAAAATTATTACAGCTTTCAATGCCGCATTTAGCAGTGTTAACCTAGAAAAGACAAAATGATATGCTGTATTCTCCCCAAACCTTTAAACCATCGCATCATCTTAGTCTTCATTTGCAAGCGTTTCAGTGGATAGCCAGATTTTGGCACCGCTTAAAAATTTGCTTAAAGGTGTTCCCAGAATGCTCCGTCTGCATAGGTTCCCTACAGGAGAAAATGGGAATGAGGAGGAGAGGAAGTCTGGGGCCCCAGAGGTGTCATTTAAACTATTTGCTCTGAAGTACATCCTGCTTTGATCCAGTTCCGAGCAGTTGCCTTGCAAAGAAGAATTGCTTTTGTACTGCCGAAGATTCCGGTTTAACATGTCTACTTCATCTGCCAGCAAAGAAACTTTATGGAAAGCAGTGATGGAGCCACCATGATTAATCTGGGCCTCAGGAACCCAGCGGAAGTAGCACAGTTTCCAGAGTTTTATTTGTGTTCCAGAGATACGGGGTAGAATCACGCCATGCAAATCAACAGGCTTTGCAAACCAGTCTCTGAAGTACTGTTCCATACTGTTGCTCTGACTCTCTGTTTGCTGTAAAAAGTCCGGTTTCAGTTTTAGTATCAGAGAGTTTCTTCTTGGAAGGAACTCCTGCTCACTGATGATTCCGTTTTTTAATGCTGGGGGGACACTGCGCAGTGTGGAGCTGTAGTTTTTCTGCAGAAAATAAATACTGGTAATTTTCCAGTTTTATGCTCATTTCAATAGCAGATTTCCCTGAGCTGCTAGGATGCATCATCCAGAGAAATATGTGACCTTTAAACAGTTCTGAGCTTGTGAGTCACTACTGCAGGGCTCACAGGGCAAACAGTGTGGCCACCTGTGGCCTTTAAAAAGAAATACATATGTTTTCTAGACTTTCTAAAACAATGAATGATCGAATTAATCAGTATTCACTGAAAAAACTGACAACCCTGGGGGAAAAAGTGGCATGCCATCACTTTTTCATAGGTGAAATAATGCAAATGTTGGCAGTGAGCTCAGGCATATCAGAAAATGTCCTGGAACACAAGGCTCAACAGTTTACATCTTTACTTCTACAGAAAATCACTTTTTCAGGCTGGGAAACGAAGAGAATTAACACTCCTATTGCTAAACTGAGAGTGTAAAACTATATAACTGTAAATTTTTAAGCATTAACACCTTATGGTTAAGCACAGAAACAGTCCATTCACAGACAGACATCACTATAGTTACCTTTGAGCGTTTAAAAGTTTTCACTGCTCCATTTTGTACACATGGTGCACTCTTTCCAATATACAAAGGGTTGTGAAAGAGCAGGCGATCCCTGCTTGTAAACTGCAGAGACCAATCCCAAACACAAGGAAATTTGAGGCCTTTCTCATCACCCAGCTGAATATTTTTGCTTATGGCAAATTCCTGCAAAAGTTAACATTCAGGCATATTAAAAATCAAAGAAAATAGGCTTAATCACAAGTCTTAATTATAAACCAGTGCGTAACTTTTGGGCAAAGAAGAGCAGGGATATAATTCAGAGGTGGCTGTAGATCAAGCAACAGAGCAGCAAGACAGTCTGCTGCTGGAGGAAACAGCTGTACCCTGTTCTTCATTTGTGCAATGCAGAGGCAGGACTAATGCTTCTTAGCAAAAATTACTTTTCAATGATATTGTTTGTTTGTTTACTCTTAACCCCCCCCAACTGTTATTTTGAGAGTACACTAATGGTACCTCAATGCTCTACTTCTTTGTAAGGTAGGCACCTAGGACTTTAAAGGGAAAATATTTAACAAAATAAGTAAGTTTTACTTTTATCAGCCATCAGATGTTTTCTACACACAGTTCTGATAAGTTCCAGTTTTCAAAAACAAATTTAAGTGTTCAGTTTTCTAAATATCTTCATTGTGCATTACTATTTGAACCTTATGCAGTGTTTTCCAACTTTTTCAACTATTTAAACAATTATGTCAAGAGATTTCAAAGTTTGCCTGAAGTGTGAAATTCTATTTATTGCCTGTCATTCTACTTGATCAGTTCCAGATATAAATCTGTTTCCTAGAGGAGTACAAATAATAATGTACAATAACAATGCCTTTCTAGAAAAAAAATAAAAAGAAATTCAATAGACTTTCTTCTTGAATAGTTAGTTACTGCCTATGCAAAGATCACCTGAAAGGATATTCTGATCATACTTGTCTGGGGAGCTGAATATTTTGCCCCGAACAGGGTGTGACGTTTTGAAAAATACAAAGGAATACTGTTTAGTTGAGATGATGTTATTTCTAGAAAGGCATGCTGAAGTCTTGTATTTGAAAAGTAGGTGTAACACTTCATACTCACAGTGCTTTCCTTCACTCGCTGATGAGGACAATTGAAAAGGAAAGTGCCAAACAATGAGATACGTGCACTGTCGTACAATATGGTCAAGTACATTTCAGAAAACTCGAAGGCTGCTGGGTATTGTTCTAGCAGCTGCCAAACACAGTCAAGAAACATCAAGAACAAAGGAGACTGGGAAAAAAACCAGAGAATTATTAGATTTAACATAAGCTTTTCCAAGTCATACCAATTCTTTGCAGTTAGTGTTCCATTAGGGTATTTAGCTATGCCTCTGGTACATTCCTCAACAGGTAAACTATTTGGAGTATTGTATTTTTCATGATTTTATGCAACTGTAATACTCTCTATTCCTGTTTAGCCACTTTCACAAGCAACTATGTCAACTGGCTTTCTCAGCGTTACCTTTCCACAGCTTTCCCTTCTCTGTAAGAAGACAGTTCTTTCCTGGGATCTCTTCATACTCATGTAGCTGCAAAAATGCTTTCTGCCTTCTTGTATGTCCCTCGTAAGTTCCAAATTAGTGCTTGTATGAGCCTTCCTTACTACTTGGCCTTATTTTCACAATGTATATACTTCCTTCTTGTTTGAAATGTCTGGAGAGCTTATGATTCAGCCACGTTAACTTCTCACTACACTTTCTAGCTCTTTCCACGGTGGCCCATGAATAGCAAAAGTATAAACCATCATTTATATAAAGCTTTAGAAATATTTTCCTCTTCCCAGTTTCACTCATCTGTATATCCTTTCCGAGGGTCAAAATATCTGCTTTCTCATTACTTCCCCCTTAGTGTTTCAGTTTCTTTATCCCTTCATGCATTTTCTTTTGCTTAGTGCTCAGTGTCCTCAGTTTATCTGTTGGCTCCACTCTCTGGGGATATTGCTTTTCTATTAATCTTGGGCATTGTCCCTGAAAAAGGCTGCTAACCTAGGGTCCTCTATTTTTCCAACTGCAATTACAAGTCTCTTCTTTGCAATGAAGAGGCCAAATAAGATTGGTTGGAAATACTGAAAAGCAAGCACACTGCTACCCTCTATTAATCTGTTTGGCAGCTGTGTATCAGTTCATAAAGCTGCAGTGTTTCTTTATCAGCTCAATACTTTGAAAAGTACTGCATATTGATACGGCTCTGCATTCAAAAATACGGGGATGAAAACAGATACCCTTGGTAAAACAAACAACTCTTTCCAAACGCACTCCTAAGCCCCTTTTATTTCAATTTAAAATGTGGGCTGTGCTAGCATTTGTAACAGTGGGACCTTTTCATGTGTAACACTGAAGCAACATAAAAACCCAGCAACATTTGATTGCACCTGGTGTTTCACTGATTCTCACGTGGCTACAGAGGATAAAGAAAATATATCTCTATCCTGGACAAAGACTCATTTTCTCTGACATTAGTTTCATGAGATTTGAAAGTATTAAAAAATGTTTTTACTTTTAGATTTGTGTGAATAAATGTTCAGGCTGATATTAACCAGACACTGTTATCACATACAGATACAATTCATTTTTACCTCTTTGTCAGATCTCTTTAAGTGGTTACACCTATCTAAAAACTGATATCCTGCCATGACCCATTCCTTCTGTATTAAGCTTTGAAATCCAACAATTGTTCGAAAATAGGGATCCAGCATGACTTGAATGAGAGAAGCAGCAAGACAGCTCAGGTCCCGTCCCTCTTCCTCTGTGAATAACATACAGAATGTATGAAATATATAAGGTATATATGCACATACACAGAATTAGATCTCAAAGAGCAGAAAGTGGCAACTAGGTCTAGTGTTTTTCTTTGAATTTCTTTTAAAACATGCTTTTTGCTGATGTAATTGTTCTCATAGTTTCAAAAAAAACTAGAAGAAAAAAACACCTTTTTTTTTTTGACTGAGACTCATACTATAGAAAAGGTTCCTGCAGTATCCAGCACAACAATGCATTCATTAAGAACAAAATACCCACCCAAATGCCTGGTATTTAGCCAAGATGTGCTGAGAAGGAGGGTGTTCATGTTGCTGGAAATTTTCAACGTATTTTCCACCCTGAAGCAGTTTTTGGAAGGCCATTATATGGGGAGAGTGGGATATATCAGCTGAACGGGTCTTGTAAAAATTACAGAAATTACAAAATTTCTGATCTTAATATGAGCAAGTTTTTCAGTGGTTTTTTTTTTCTGGAGTATCTGTTTGCACTTACACAACAGCAGCCACTGTTGGTGAAATACTTTTGTATATAGGACCTCTGAATAAAACTGATATTGCTTATGCAAGGAGTATTAGCCCAATTAACACAGTACAAAAGTTCACCCTAAAGTTTTGATTCTATCATATCATTATCAGAATAAAAACCACAAAGATTCAAAGTGAAATATTCCTTTGATGCTATGGACTATACTACAGTTCAGACACATACAAAATTATTTTCCTTTCTAGTTCCTCAAATGCCTAAAGTATTTAGAAGCAATGGGGTTTATGTATAAAGATTACAGTTGATTTTATCTAAATGTGTTTATCTACATTATCATACTAATGCTAAGAATTACAGCATGCTATATGGTTGCATTACCTTGTAGAACTACAGAAACGTGCTTACACTCCATCATATATACAAGCTCAGCAGAATGCTTAAGAAACGATCTAGACAGGAAAAGAAAGTGATACAACAGTTAATGTAACAGGTTTGCACTCTAGAAGAAAAAAATATTTGGAATATCTATATTTACCTAACTCATACATTAAAATAGAGAATCCTTCAACTGATTCACTGCTTATTTACACTGGTGAAAGTTTTTCACATCTCATTAACCATAATTTTATTAATGGTACAAACCTAATATACTCTAACCAGCGAGTATTTTCCAGTGAGGATAGCCACTTCTCTTCAGTTTCTTCAAAAGGCTCTGCAACAAGGAAAGTAATTACATTGCAGAACAGCTTCAAATAACTATTCCTGTTAGCCAGATCTATTAGAATTTGTTGTATTTCAAGAAAATAACCACCATGAAAGAAGGACAGTCCAGCATACCATTAACACACAGCTGTTTGAGTTTGTTATGTGCAGCCTGGATTTCCTGGATGTTGGGGAGACACTTGTCCAGATCAGATTTGTAAACGTCACTTCTCAGGGGATGGCTTCGAGTTATTGCATTACAAATCCTAAGTAAGAAAAAGAATCAGCCATTTTATTATTGAAGACGAGAGAAACAGTCTTTCAAGAAACATGCCACAGTCTTTAACTGCAAACAACTAAAACCACATAAAACATGCGCCTTATTTAAAAAAAAAAAGCTTTCTAGTTTATATTCAGGAGATATATTGCTCCTGCCACAAAGTTATGGACTCAAATATACTTGGTATCTGCTAGTTAAAAAAAAAAATGGAAACGCTGGATCATTAAAACAACAAAATGAAAACATAAGGCTGACTTACAGTTAAACAGGTCTATTCAATTTTTAATTTTCCACAGTTTTTAGTAAGACTTATCTATGCTAAATAAACAGAACATATATAAAGTTTATAAAGCCAGGAAATTTGACAGAGTTTCAAATAAAACTCAGAGCTCCAGCCTAACACACACAATGCAAGTGTTTCTACTACTATAAAAAGTCACCCTACAAATTAAACCAAAAAACAAAAATACCAAGCTAGTAAACTACTTACGCAAGGCTCTAAATGCCTTCATCTTTCATCAAGGACAGCAAATGACAAGTATTTCACAGAAATACCGTGTGCATTTTGGCACCAAATCTATAGAACTGTATTTCCCAATGCCACAAATAAATAATTTTTACTATGTCTTGCTGAAGCAGGTAAGAAAATCTCCACCAACATAAGTTGTATTACAGTAACATCAATAGAAAAGATTGTCTGATCTTTTTATCAATAAATTCTGTCATCTGAATGACTAGCTGCATAAAAAATAAATATCCCTTAAAATTTGAAAAATTATGCAGTATTCGAAACTGAAGTGGACCTTCAATAGAAATTGTGCCAGAACTACACTCAGAGAACAGTTTCTCAAAAGCTATTGCACTACAACATTATGAAGCAAGTATCCTCTCAATTACCAATTGCTGCTGTATGTTAAACATAGTCACCACTTGTGTTACCCTATGCGTCTGATTAAAGAATAACATAACTAATAATTTACCTTTGATCAATTCTTCTTTGTTGCAATACATCTTTAATGTTGGCCATTCTTACAAGGGCGCTCCCGTTAGGATGATTCCAGGACCATAACTAATATGGGGAAAAAACACAAAAGAAACAACAAAATAATGCAGGTTAGTGTTAATTTTTCTTAATGCTACACACAAAACTATGTTAATTGGAATACATATCTTTAAGATTAATATTGTACAATGCTCATGAACAGTAACAGAATAAAGACTACACTTACTGGCATTCGTCTCCCAATAAAAGAGTAGGAGTATAGCTTAAGGTCTTGATCTGCTAAGGAAGATGGAACCACAAAATATTCTGGAAGGCTTGGGGAAAAAATATGATACAAAAGGTTACTTTACCCTACGAATTTTATCAGCTTTTCTCTTGTTGCAATGCTGTCTTACCAACTCTGTTAAACTATAATGCGCCAGCCCCTAATATTGCAGTGCTAACTGGTTGTCCTGCATGTCTGCATGATCTTACATACCACTGGTACAGCTGAGATGTATTCGTTCAGAAGCGTGCATGTTTCAGAGGGAAGTACAAACGCGTGAAAGCAACAGATGCCAAAATACGACATTTCCTTTAATGACGACACTTGCAGGATCTTTCAACTGAGGGCCTCTCCAGAGTGGCACATTTAAGAGGTGAAGTGCACAGTTAGGTAGGATGGAGGCTTTGGTAGAGGAGGCAGGAAAAGGCAGTATAATTGCCTGTTTTCTTTTACTTGCATTGTAAGAGGAACTTACCAAGTAGATATCATATAACCTTCATTGACTGAACAAACTCTCCACTCTGATGCACCTGTCCTTTTGATTTCTCTATCCCAATCAGAGTAAGTTTCAAACAAAGGTGTCTGCTGACCACTGGCACTGCCGATGCTGCCACCACCACCTCCTGGGTCTATTCCATTCACCTTCTTTGCTAGGAAAAGAAAATTCATCAATGCACATTTAAAAAAAAGGGGGGAAAAAGATCAAGCTCTTCACCTTCCTAATTACAAGAATGAGCCACTAGCATCAGGACTAACATTACGTATTTTTGTATGACAACAGATCAGTGGTTTAATAACAGCTTGGTGATACCTTAAGATATAAATGTATTTTTTCCTGCAATTTCAACAGAGAAGCAACATAAAATTGGTATGTTGTGCTGCTTGGTAGAAAGCAAGACATACTAACACTCAGGAACGAATGTTATCTTCAGTCACAGGATTTCTCTCTTCAACATGCCAAAGTTAGCAACGTTTTAAAAGCGTGAACCCTTTATAGGCTACCCTTTCATTAGATACCTTATGAAGAAAGCAAAATAAAAATTATATAATTTCAACAGCTTTAAATGACTGCTGTATTAACAGCAAATAAATTGAAGGTCAGGATAATTTTTTTTTTTTTAATACATATATATATTTATATCCACACAAAAAGATGGCCCTCCACTTTGTAGCTAGGGATCAAGATTATACAGTCTGTTATTAATACAGAAGCATCTCCTTAGGTGCCAAGGAGGCAGTCAGCTATGTCAAAGGAGACTACATTTTGTTTCTTGACACTTGAAGTAAATTTTTAGATGGAAGTGAAATAAACTGAGACTCAATCCTATTACCTCCCCCATGAAAGCTCCTACCTTTAGCAGGAGCCTATAAAGATGTAAGTGCCTGCCCAAACAAAGCAGAATACAGCGTTATGGCTCTACTGCCATCTCAGTGATTTTGTAGTTTCTACTTTCTATCAACTTCATTCTTGCACTAGTACTCGGACTACTTATGTTTTTCAGAAGAAAAAAATCAGAATGAAGTAATTGTTCCAAGCTACTATACAGAGTAATATGATAATTACCAAAAAAAGTTATAATTTTACTGTTCAATGGCAGGATATATCATTATTAAATATAGCCGGGGAAAAAATGATGTACATATACACCAGAGCAATGCAGGCTCTTTATGTTCTTCAAGAAGCACAAAGACAGTATTTCAACTTTTACTTTACTGGGACTAGCAGGGATAGTTATAAAATACAGTGCTGGAATTGTAAGACCAAAGCCAGAGATCTATGCTACAAACACCAGGGTTCACAACAACAAAAAAACCCCAACCCAAACCAAAAGTATTTCAAACTCTTTTCTCCAGCAACTGCAGCATAGCAGAACAACTATCTTTTGCCATTCTGGTCTGCTGCTCCAGAGGAACAACATTTTTTACCCACCTTATGTAATTCTTCCACTAGGCATTTTTCCATACAGCAAATGGTATTTTAAGGACAGAGTGAAGGCAACTTCGTGACAGATTAATATTTTGTTCACACTCCACTTTTACATTTTATTGTAATGTTATCTGCAAATTGGCTTGCTCCCTAGTACTTTATAATGCTAAAGTACATGGACCTTAATAACTGCCCAAGTTTTATCAGGTAAGAAATTATATGTGTAATCATATGTGCAACATAATCACATGCACACTTACTCTTGTGCATGCACTGGGCAGTCATGTAGGCACCTGCATGAAAAACATGCATTTTTGTGCAAATTTGAAGGCCTGAGCTCATAATTCCACAACATTCAAATTTTGTAACAGGCAGATCAGTGGTTTCTAATGCCAGCTGCTGAGTAAATACTTCAGTACCACAGAACTACATCAATGGCACTTTCTCTATTTGGAGGCTTGTTACACTAGAACTGATGGTTTTCAGTTGTGTATTGGCTGGGGAACACTAAGCAGTGACCGCACAGCATTACACTAGAAATCAAGTTCCAAAGGCATCTTTTTCAGGCTTACCTAACTGACAAGGTTCAGTTGGAGATTGGCCTTGAGCAGAGAGGGTGTGCTCCAACTCAGCAGGGGTGGTGGAGGTTTTGAGTGGTAAGAACTGCCTAGTAAGCCTCTAGGAAAGAAGGTATGGAGTCCCAAGTTGCACAAATCCTCCTGCAATACCACCAGAAGAGAAACTTATTCCCAAAAGAAGGGCAGGTGAACAAGCCTGCCTGATGGGAGATTAGCTAGGTACCTAGAGTACCAATATAGACATACAATAGGAGGATCGAAGCGTGAATTGAGAAATATGAGTATTCATGCTGACGTAAGTGCTGACATAGGTAGTTTTGTTTTGTTTCAGACAGGAAAGACATTTCTTTCTATTTTGGTTGTTAATGTCTATCACAATGAATGACTTATAACCGAAAGTAAGAGGTTGGGTGCAGGACAAGCCAATTTTATTACCCCTGGAGAAAGCCTCAAATGCTTTTTGCCACTGCTTCTAGACAGAAGTATTACTAAAATTACATATAATGAAATAGGAAAAAAGAAATCCAAATACTTTCATACTTACCTGGATTGTGATATATTTCCCCAACATACTCAAATGCAAAGAGAAGCTGAAGATCCGTTGGCTGAGAATAATGAGCTATTGCAAGGCACACCTAGGAAAGAAACTTCTATTACTGTTATTTATAGACATAAAATTTATTGCCCTTAATTATGGTAGTGTGAAACATGCAGAGCAAAAGTTAAAAATCAGTCTTCTGATGTTTTATTTCCATATTTTACTTGAGAGGAGTGAATTATATAGTTAAACATACTCATATTTGCCAAGAAACCATTCCTGTAATCATAGTAGGCGAGTTCATGACCATCTATCAACAGTGATTAACTGACAAGGGTAGACTAAGATTTTGCAAGAATGGTCAAACTGCAACAGGCATCCCTAAACATGATTCTCTGCATCAACAGAGAAAAGCAAGGATTTGGAGCTACTGTGCTGTGCCTGCCCACCTGCATATAGAAGTAAGGAGGAGAACAAAAAGAAAAGAGCACAACACACAGGTGGTGAGCACAGTACAGCAAAATCTCATTTTTAATTGGTCTTTTGATAATTATTTTTTTAAATGAAGAGTACTTATCAACATAGCATAAGAACATAAGAATGACCATACTGAGTCAGTTCAAAAGGTCCAGCCTAGCACTCTGTTCCTGACAGTGGCCAGCAATCGATGCTTAGAGAAGAGGGTAAAAACAGAGAAAGCATAAAATGAAATTTTACCAGGATATTTTTCAACAGTTCACTGTTCGGGCACTTCCTGAACTAAAATCTGGTATGAGTATTCAACAGAATTTGACAGATATTTCTTCTACAAAGTTGTCATTTGGGTCAAGAGGTTTTTGAAGTGCGACTTCCCTTTACAAAAGCCTGTTGGTGCTTCCCTAAAGTATCATATTTAAGCAAAAGTCTGAATCTAATTAAATTTTTATTATCTTTTCCACTAATTCACCCCATATAGGCATCAGGCTTATCAGCCTGTGCTACCCAAAACTCAACCTTCAAAAATTTCTGCTCTTGGAAAGGAAAAACAAGAGGTTGCTCTTTGAAGATTTCCAGGACCTATGTCAATCCTGAATCTCATTAAGTTGTATTCCAAAATTATGAAGGGCATTGATGAATATAAATGAAAAGCAAATTGTTTGGTAATAAAGAACAGCTTTTCCCCCCAAGTTACTTGGAAATAAGTAATTCATGGTGGGAGATGTTTTCTTCATGTTAGTCACTTGCAGTTTGTTTGTCAGCTGAATGGCAGGCCAAAGATTCTCCATCAATCTCCAATTTCAATAAAAAGTGAGTTTTTAGGGCAGGTCCTTTTGCCAAGCGTGGGGGATCCACAGTTAAACATGCCAGTAATCACCCTCTTCCCAGTTCCCAGCTGATCTTGAGAACTGAAACATCAGCCAAAGTTTCTGAGGGTAGCAAGAAGTCAGCTTCATTAAATTTTGGCCTAGCCCTTACAGGTTCTGTCCCAGATTTCATTTACAAAAGAAAAGCCACCCATAACTTCTGGATGGCTGCAGGTTTATAGCAAGCTCCAACACTTCTCTAACGATCTGATGCTTCAATCAGGTTTAACCAGACTGAGTCACAAGTCCTGCCCCGGGAAGGGAAATGTAGCAGAGATTGAAAATGAGAGAAAGATGCATCCTCAGAACAGCAGAGATAACTTGGGGCACAAGGAAGAGTCTTGCCTAAGTCTTCGCATTCTTTGCAACAGTCTCAGGACCAGCATCACATAAGCAACTGGTTTTCTACCCATATAAATTGTTCATTTTGGTAGAACCCTAAGATTATTAAAATTAAGAGTGCAGCACATGGTTTAGGATTAGATACTAGACTTCAAATAGAGTCAAGCTTTGCTACCCTTTGTCTCTTTAAATGTGAATATGCACTTAGAAATACAAAAGATTTGACAAGAAACCTAGTATCTAGAAGCATCAAATTCAGGAAGAAAAAAAACTTTCAAGTAGAAATTGGCACTGTTATTCTCCAAATTTCCGGACTCGATTTGGAGTCTTTAGCTTTGCCTTCTTCCCTCAGTATTCGCTTCTCCATTGTAATAAACGTACCTGCCTTATCTCTCTGAAGAAAATACTTAATGAAAAGGAGGTTATAAACCACAAAACTCTATTCTACATGTTCAGATACAGAAATTCCACGTGACAAAGTTTTTAAATAGGGACAAAGACATAGTATAAGTTCACATTATTACCACCTAAAATTTTTCCTTTCCATTTTCTTCCTTCCCTTCAACTCTCCATGACTTTTTATATTTGGCAACATGTTGACACAATTTAGTCACTGTTCAGTAGTTTTGGATATTATTTTTGAAAAACATTCTGTGCATCCAAGAAATTGTTTTCTGTTAGTGAAGGAATGTTTTCTTATTGTCATAAAAATAAAAGAAAGATTTGCATGACAGACAACTGAAGGAATACTACTACGGGCAGCATTGTGCCACAGGAAAAAAACTTGAGAGCTCACTTATGCTAAGTTCTGTACGGAGAAAGTTATTGTACTTTTACTAGCTTGTACGCAACATATATGGCATTACGGAACCTTCACCATATTTCTATTTACTTTGGCTTTTGATGGGGACATTCCTCACTATTTATAAAACCAGTAATTACTGTAGACTAACTTGAGTTGAAAACCTTTTTTCACAAACACTCCCCTACAAAAAAATTCCTATCGAGTCTTAGAAGAACAGTTGCTTTACTTTTCTCTCCATACTTTCAGTTCTACAATGAAACTGCAAAAGAAAATAGAGGACAAGACATTCCAGGGCAGGATGGACCCCAAAAAAACTCAAACAGAGAAAGTGTCACTGGTAAATAGTCTAGCATGACTTTTAAAATGAACATTTATAAGCTCATTTCCACGATTCGTTAAAACATTTAGTAAGTACCACGAAGTAACTGGAAGCCTTGCACATTTTATTAAATCTTGTGATTTCAGTGTACAAATCAAAGCTGAAGAAGCCAGCTATTCCATAATACTAGGCCTCTCCTAACAGACTACTTTTGCTTATCATTTACAATCAAACAAAATGGAAATCTGTGTACGTATACATTTTGACTTCCATTTTTCTATGTAACTTTTCACTAAAGTAACTGATATTAACAGAGCTACTCCTCATCTTCATTTATGGGAGTGAAGGATGAAAGCCTTTTACAATACTCTCAAGGCTTGAAGATGAACTGCAAGACATTAAAAAATTCCATTGTGCTGCCAAATAACACAACAGAAACAGAGTAAAACCTATTTTTAAAAGCAGCAGCTAAAACCTCTGTCATTTACTTGCCACATTTGAGAAAGAGTACATGTGTGCTGTGTTAAAAGGGGTAAAAGGGGGGGGGGGGGGTGTGGAATAGTAAGAGCATTCAGATCTGATTCTCAAAAAATATGACACCATAGCTGTGCTTTTGAATCCAGCAGCTGAAAAAAGCTTCCAGGTGTTCCACAGTATAGACATAACTCACAATACCAGGTATTGCATGGGTGAAACAGTCCACCTGTAGATTACAAGACAGTTTCAGGACCTCTATTTCTGTTAAAAAAATACTTACCCTGCTACTGTCTTCATTTTTACATTTTGGACAAATTCCACTCATACACACACTAAAAAAGTATTAAAGACATACTCATTTTCAGTTTATTCCTCACTAAATCCATACAGTAGTTTTATTGTCTGAAAGTTTCAAAAGACAAGCACATTCCACAGATCTCAGCAGATTATCACCGTAAGTAGAAAGCTCTTAAATTGGAAGACAAACATGTTTTACAGGAAATGTTCTCATATCAAACTGAAAAATGTTTGGTATTCTTGCCAATTTACAATTGTGTAAAGCTGAAGATATTTAGGCTCAGTCAAATAACAAGAGAATAGGCTGTTTGTTGGAAAGGTCATTTATTAAAAGCAGTAAACACAATGGCTGTAATTATTTCATAGTACGTAGGCCATTTCCCTATGTCAGTGTCCCCTGTTCAACCCCTACCTGAGAAAAATAAATGATACTTTCAGGGCAGGCCCTCCTCTTCTTCAACAGGAATTTTACCAAGGACGAGAGCTTCAAAATATTGCTAATGCTCTTGGAAAAGATAGTTTTGAACAGTCATATTTAAGAAGTGCTAAGTTAGCATAGCCCTGCATTTCATCTCCTTCCGTAAGCCAGGCTACCTGTCTTACGAACTCACTGGAAGGATACTATTTTCCCTTATTACTGCAATTCCTATTCCAAGTAGACACCTGTAGTATAAAGTCATGCAACCAGGACCAGATCAAGTCCCAAGGGCAGAATTTGTTAATCTTCCTAGGCAGGAAGTCTTCTTGGGGAAAATAAGCTTTCAGGTAACAAGACTCTCAGCCCTAACCATCATGTACGTTCTCCTAACTGCTAAGCTATGAATTGTCTAATTGAGAACTGCTTTTTTTTTTTCCCCTCTAAGAATTCCAATACCAGCTATATATAATACTTTATCTGGTTTGAGTACAAGTAATCTACATGAGAGGAAACAGTACAAGGATTTCAGAAGCTGAAGTAACTTTTTACATATCAGAATCCTTGTTTGTACAAGAATATATTTGAATTCTAAGCACAGGTTTCCTAAGCCTTAAGAGAAATATTAAAATACATTGCCATTTTTTAAAACACCTTTAGATAAGTTTACTTCTGAAAAAAGTTTTCTTCACCCCCTCCAATCCCACTCCAAAGACCGAAAAGATAGTAATATCTTCTCGTGCATTCCCAGTGTCATGAGATATTACCAATTTTGTGATCTGTATAAACAATTAGAACAAGGTAATACAGAAGTTTGGGGGGGGGGAGGGGGAGGAGGGGAGAAGACATTAGAAAGGGTCAGGATCATTTGTCCAAAACTTCCAGAGCTTCACGTTATTCTTCATAACAATTAGGAAAAAATTGTTCCACTCCATCCCAAGTGTTATGACGTGTGAGAAGGCTAGTTTTGATTGCACAGGAAACAAGATTTGAGATAAGTAATTTTCCTTCTGTTTTGATTAAGCATGTGTTTCTGAAACTGCTCTCATATTCATTTAAAAAAGCTTCCTGAAGGAAAAGAGCTGAGGGGGTTCCAGAAGAGAAAGGGACTGAGAAAATGGAGTTATATTTAGGAAACAGGAGATTATAGGGTGTGTGCCATTCTGGTGCGCTGCCAAGATTCATATGCGTGGTGAGGCAACACATATCCATCATCTAACAGTCATAAAATCTAAAGCCTCACCTTTCCATACATTTTAATTTCTTAGTCTAGTATCAAGCATCGTAGTGGTTAGAAATTAGCAGAAGTTTTCAGTTTGACTGTTTGTTGTGATTTTTGGAATAAAACCATTCCTCTTATTTTAAGGAATGTGAAATGCTTCTTCTTTCACTCTGCCTAACTTAAAACTTCCCCAACTTGCTTACCCTTGCTTCCCCATCCTCCCCTTCCTCCCATACCCATGTGGCTTTCCTTCCTTTGTTGATTCTATAGCTTTATTTTAGAGACGAAACAGAACTAAACTGCTAAATAGTGATGAGTGCTAGTTTCCATTCCCTCTATTATTCCTTAACTTGTCTCTCAAATATCCATTAATAAAAATGAGGAAGAAAATATCTACTTGACTAATTAATGTTGAGACAGTATTTTATTAGCATGTATTGGCTGCAACTAAAGTTGAAGGTATTTTTCTAATGGAAATTATTTTAAGCTTCTTCATAATAATTCACCCCAAAATAAACTAATTCACCTCAAAATTCAATGTGTTCTTCCAATTTGTTTCTGCTTAAAGGTAGAGAAAAACACCTCTAAAAGTTTTACCAATATTACCCATGCATCATGTCTATATGTAATTAAGTCAGATTGTCCACATCTGAAGCCTGACTGCTTTCAAACTTGGATCCTTCTTTTCACACTTACTACCAAGAAGAGACTCAGAACACATTCTATTCTAGTAAGGCAGCTTAATTAGTAAGGGTTATTCTCCCTTATGCCCCGTTCAGCAAATACAGACACTTCCTTAGGAACAGATTACATTATCTTTGCCAACACCAATTTATGTAACTGAATACTGTTGAGTATTTCCATTACATTCAAGGAACTATGCATGAAAAATTACTTAACTGTATAAAACTAATATCTGTTCTTGTAACTATTCCACATATTTTTAAATAGTAATTATCAAGTGTATTGTTTTTATTTCTTTAACTATTGCTCTAAACAGAACATTTGCTAGCATCTGGCAACAAGTTAGAGACATTTATACTCCCATAGTTTGAAGTGTATATTTTAGTAGGTAGATATTTCATTTGGACCTACCAGTGCTTTATTCATGGATGATACTCCTCCGTATTATCAGGACGACATTTAGTTAGAAATCTCCCTGCTCTGATTTGTATAGCTGACTGTATTTATGTAAAGTTTGCTAAAGGAAGCTACTTCTGATTTATAAAGCACTAACATGCAGGTCTCTTGCTTTACAGAACAGAGATTGTAATGTTAACTGTAACATCACCTTCCCTTCTGCTTATTTTAAAAAAAAGTGAAAAAACCTTATTTGAAAAAACTTCAGAGTCATAAATACTTCAGACATGATTTTAATTATAGCCTGCACAATTCACTGATTCCAACAGAAATTCTGAGTTCTGCAGTTTCTCAATACTAAGCACCCTAGAAAACCTTCATAAAACACATAAGCACAATTTATCCAGTTAATTTTTTACTCAGGACGTCTTCATATCTAGCTCCAAAATGAGCATAAGCAAATTTGCGAGGAAAAAAAAATATAGCTGACAATTATTTTGATTTTTCTCAAAGAGATGACTGGAGATTAGGCCCCCAGGTTAAAAGGAAGGAGAAGCTGGAGAGGGTCCAGTCGTGGGCTACCAAGATGACTATGGTCCTGAAGTACATCTTCTGAAGAAACTGGGCTCATTTAGCTGTGCAATAATGAGATGCCAGATGACATAGTGGGCAGCAGCCAGAAACTCATCTTGGGACATTCAATCAGGAAAAACATACAGCACTGGAACAGGTTACCAACAGAGAAGGCTCTCCATCCTTGGTGGTTTTCAAGATACGACTGGACAAATCCACAGCTAACCTGATCTAATCCTGGGAACTCTGAAGAGAAAGGTGGACTCCACAGGCCCCTCCCATCCAGCACCTCTGACTCCATGGTCAGTTCTCTACCACAACATTCTCTCAGTCAGAAAACAATGCTAGCACACTCAGCTGAAGAGAAGAACAGGAATTCCCTCTCATCAGAACTCAGTTATACTTTAAGTCTTGGTCCTCCCTACGGAAGTTATGCACACACAATTATTTCCAAGTAGACAGCTACCAACATTTTCGTGCACAAATAGCTGGATGTAAATATATATTAGGGAGGCCCTTCAGAACTATAAGGAGGCCTGACCACCTTCCTTTGTTTTTAAAAATCAGGACAACCTTGTACTACTTGAAGGGCAGGAACAGAAACCAGATAAAATCTTTCAAGAGTGTGGTGCTAGCATGCCATTTAAATGCCAGAAAGAACAAAATAACTCCATCTGATATGCTGTGTAACACCATTTTACTTGTGTTCACAGCACCCCAAAATAATTTAAGCAAAATCCTGATTGAAGAAACCTGATCTAAGGACCTCATGGTTTTAGATACTTATATTTTAATGCTAGCAGAATAATGTTATTATGGAAATACTAGAGTAGGTTAACAGAACCTTATATCCCTTCAGTAGAAGTGTGCTTCTGTGATACACCCACACAAAGTTGCAATAACCTACTTGATGCATCAAAACTGCAATAGTAGCCACACAGCTGATATTACCATTGTACGAGTTTTCTTCCACTCCTCTAGTGAGCACAGTCTGGTATTTGAAAATGGCAACTGTTACACTTCTGGTCAACACCAGTACTATCTTTATAACCACACAGATTCAGATCCTTCTGGATCTCTAGAACTAACTGTTCTTCCTATCAAGAGAAATCACGTTAGACTATGTAATTATAAATGTATAAAGCAAGCGCCTACATAAAAAGGTTTCACTTTTTGCTCTTGCAGAAGTAAATGCAGCACAGGAAGTGTTAATGAGATGCTGAATTTATGCTCTCTTCCGCCCTCCTCCAGGCTAATCACTCTTCTTAGCTGTGACAATCAATTAGAAACGGTTGCTATAAAGATATTGCAGTAGACTGGCTGCTCCAGGGAGATTTCAGAGAAGCTGTGAAAGGGGAATTGACCGCTTTCCAAACATGTGAGGTTACAAACAGCAAAGGCAGCAGGCAGGGAGGAACCTAGAAAAGTAGCAAGGAAAGAACCGCCTGCTTCATTACCGGGCTTCTGCCCATGGATCTCTATGAGAGGGTAAGAGGTGAACAAGCGATGAACTGGTTCATCAGTTACTCAGCCGATAATGGCAAACAGACTTATGGCTGGGCAGATGGTTCTTAGGACTTACAGGGCTAAGCTCAAACTTTATCCTACTGAGAAGGGGAATTCTTAAGCTTTGTAAGCAAACTGGGTCATTCCTTACGAAACGATTGCTGTGCCACGCCTGGCGACGAAGTGGTGCCATGGAGGTCAGAGGAGCTGTAACTCAAATAACCTATGGCACCGATCCAGAACAGGGAAGCTGGTGAGCTCGTGTTGTTATGGAGACTAACCATGTCTGATTAGCAGAAACTTATCTGGACCTTACCAGGTTAAATAACATTGAATGATTTTGTTGAGACTTGTGACAACAAATGTTAAAACTGGGGAAGGAATGAAATTTCTAGGAATGTACAGACAGAAGTAATTCCTCTTGTCAAGAGGTATGCAAGTCTTTTCTAAGAAAATGTTGAGAAAGAGCACACAGTTTTATGTAGATTAGACAAACCAGTCATTCCAAGAGCTCACTGGAGAACTTGCTGCGTGAAGCAAATAAGTGTATATGTAAGATAGTATACTTTACCTATGGGTAAATTAAGCTTATGGCTTTCAGAAAACATATCAAAGTTTCAAACATTTTCCATAAAAATGTAAACATCTGTTGTACAGTTGCAATGCAGTATTCCGATTCCAGTCTTTATGATGATTTGTTTAATTAGTACTTTTTAAAAGTAAACAGATACGACAAGAAATGCAGCTTTATCTTATATGAAAAGAAACAGTTAATACATCACGTTAAATTTTTTACCTAATAATTTTGACTCTAAAAATCTAGATATTCTCCTGTAACAGAATGTGATTAATTTGCAAAATTCTTCCCCCCTACTTCTCTATCAAAACGTAAACCAAAATGTTCTTATTAGCCCAGCTGTTGCTACATACAATGACTACAAGGCAAGATTTCATAAGAAGATATAATACCTTTTTTGCACTTTCAGGACCCGCTTCATCAAAACGAAATCTGACAATACGGAAGTCTTTGCAATAAATTATTAATTCAGTTGGATTAAATTTAAGTTTTTGGTTGGGACCAAGGACCTTCTGCTTCCTCTTGGTGTCATTCACTGTAAAGAAAAGACAAAGTTACTGAACTGTGTTTTGTAAGTACACAACACAAGACTGGCTCAAACAAATACAGTAATGCTGCTATCAGCAGTTTTTCATTTAATAGTATATTTCAAGTGTTCAGTTGAGGTAGGAAATCTATAGGTCCTCCTGTTGATCAATCTCCTTTCAAACAAGTAGCTGAGTTACTGTTTCCTGTATACCCAGATTATTTTTGTCCAACAACAACTTCACAAACAAGGAATTAACATGCAGTATTCCCAAGAGCAATTTTTGGTCCCAGGCAGTTAATTGTGTATGCTCCAATGCCCTTCTGATGCACAGTAATTGGCATATATGCTGATTTTTCTTTAAAGTTTTTTTTTTACTTGGATGTATAAAAAAGTGCTGGAGTTAAGACTAAGATTAACTCCTTATTTCTTACATAAAACTCAAGAATATAAGTATAGTAAATTGCCAGCTGATCTAGACCTGCATAGACAGTCTGCGTCTTGGCCTATGTTATCTCCTTTTCAAACAGAGAAAGTTAAGTTGTAAAAAGTAAGCATCACAGAAGCCACAGAGATTTTATTTGTGGTAACTGGGAAAGCTGGGGCACGTAGCTGTTGAGTGATTAATTGACATAGCTGCCTGGTTGCAGGTATCTTCTGGCTTAAACTTAAGTACTTCCAGGGAACTCAAGACAAGCGTTTTTAGGACTCCTCTGGCTATTCACCTTCCATACAACAACCATCGAGCAACCTCTTCTGCAGCATGGGTGAAAACCTCCCCTTAATTCCTATAAAAGCATATGCTTCACTAAATTTAGGGTAAACCTGCATAACAGAAGAACAAAGAATAGTCTCCTCAAGTGTGTGGCAGGAAATACTGCCTCCTCCCTCTAAAGAGCTTCAAACCTCAACGGAAAAGCTAAACAGAAAGGGTTCCCTTCTAACAAAACTGCAAACGTTCAGGCTATTTGACAGTTTGGGGAAACATGCACAAAAGAGTAATCTAGAATCTGTCAGCCCGCAAGTTTCAAAATAAAAGCTACCTGTAGTCCTCTCCCATTTAGGAACAACACATTTCATGTGAGAGAGGACATAATTAATAGAACAATTATTCACGGCTGGCTGGCTTTTCCCCCCCATTTAGCAGAATTTATTATATGTGCATTTGTATGAGATGTTAAATAAGAAGATTGTAACACCCCATTTATAAACATGTCTCTACATGAAACTGTCATTAACAGATTTGCAACACGGCTACTGTTTTGTCACTTCTACCTGGCATTTTTTAAAAGGGGCAACAAATGCGGGCCACTGCAAGACCATATAACAGGTCAATAGCACCTCTTCATTTAAAAAAAAAAAAAAGCATTTCTTCATAATGTTCTTCCTCAAATATATATTAATCTTTTCACAGTGATTACAACCAGCTTCCAGAGTGGAAATGGATTATTGGATAACTTTGGGCACTGAAAACTTACAAGTAATGACTTAAATTACCTACAGTCAGAAAACCAAGTATTTGACAGCCCAGGCCATAATCAAGATTTGAAAAATTATCAGTTGTATGAAATTCTTCAATTACAAGATGAAAAACATTCTTTTTAACAAACAGGTTAGCCTAAAGTATCCACCAAATAAAAAACTGGTTCTACAAAATAAGTATTTTATAAGGTATTTCTTCAGATTAAGATCTCTATTGTCATTTGTAGATTTTTGAGGACCACTAGCTATTAACTTGCTAAGAATTAAACAAGATTGAAAACTCAAGCATTTATGCTGTCGGATATCCCAGCTATGTGTAAATTGTGTAAACAATGTGCTTTTTGCAATCTAGTGTATTTAAATGGAAGAGATTTAGATGCTTAAATATAAAAAAGTTGCTAACAAAATGTTGTACTGCTATAACAGGTGTCTATCGTAGAATACCTATTGATTCAGTATTGTAGTTAAATTTAAAACCTATATAAAGACCCAACTAAATAAGTCTCCTGCATGGCACCTCAAGTTTTACTCGGCTTTTAAGACTTTTATCCTAATTTTAAATAAACCAAATTGTTCAAATCAGGGCAGATTAACATAAAACCTCAAGCGTCAACAATTCTGCACAACCTAACAAGCAGTTAACAGTTTTGAACATAGTAAGTTTAAAGCCTGTCATCATACTTAACTACTTTCGACATACCTGTGACAATCTGCTCAATGCATGTTAGTGGGACATCATGTTCACCAAGGAGGAGGTTTTTATAATGGAATTTCTGAAACACATGAACTCATAGCCATTAATTGCAGTTCTGCAGTTTGCAACCAGACATACAGCACAACTTAGAAGAAACTATGATAAAAATCAGGCATGCCTAGACTTTTCTGACATGTACCACCCTTGCCTATTCACAGGCAATTAGAGTTGTGGAAACAGCTCTCTTGTGCTGGTGAGTGCACACCAAACAGTTTAGAAACGCCAGTGGAGTATGCAAAATAACCTCACTACTTGTACTGAACTTACTAGCCTCAAAAATTGCTGGTAGAAATTCAATACCATCTGAAGTGTAAAAAAAAAAAATAATATACATATATGATATAAAAAACCTCCAACTATTACTGTAACCATAGAAAGAAAAAATATTAATTCAGCTTTCAAAAACTAAGTTTTGACAGCTACTTCATGTCAAAAATTAATTTTTTGAAGTAGCTTTGGTCAAACTTACTAACCATTACTGAATAAGCATCTATCTACTTTCAGAGCTTTACACATGCCTAGTTAATGGAGTGTTTCTTTTAAAAGCCCAAAATGAAAGTGAAAACTCTACTGAAAATAACATACAGCTCACAACTTGGATTTCCAAACAGTACTGTATGCTGTGCTGTTGAAAAACTGATCGAGGTTTTGAATGTGACATGTTCTGCTTTGACAAAGGCTTGGTTTCTTTCTCCCCTTTTCTTGTTGCTTCACCTACAATGAAAGCCCATTTCACGGTTACTTTGTCCTCCGTCAGTAAAGCCAATGAAACTTGGATGCATTAAAGGCTTTGCTGATCTGACGCTTGTATAGTCAAAGGAACATTTGCAATTATCTTCTTCAAGGAGGAAGATGTTTTTATACAATTCCTGCTTTGCCTTTCGTAAAACCACTTCCCAATGAGCCTCCATAAACAGAGGTAAAAAAAGCCAGCTGTACTTCCATACCAAAGTTGTTCTGTTTTGATATTCTCAATGAAGGGATGGAATGGCAACGTATTCAGAACAGGACAGTGGAACCTCATTATTTAGCCTGCTTTGTTTTAGAAGGCATCATATTTATATCAGATATGAGAAAGATTCACTGTATTCTAATTAAATCCATTTTATCTATCACATTTGTTGTCATGATGTAGCGATGTGAGTAATAACAAACCTGTAGTGGCATTGGGTCATCCGTAATAAAGGAAATCTTGAAGTTAGTGCAAACCAATTTGCCCCACAGGTCATATTGACTTGTATCTGTTGCGATGCATTTTCTTACAAAATTTACTTCATTTACCACAATTTCACCTAAAACAGAAAAAGGGGAGGGGAAATGAGAAGCCTATATAAATCTTGTAGGTACAAGAATTCTACTATGGAATAGTAGTGCCAAGAAGCCCCTAACTCTTTACCTGTTTCAAGTTATACACCTCTTCTGGGTAAACCTGGAGTTTAACACCACCACTCCAGGGAAAAAAGAAAACTCCTGTTCCAAAATATTGTGCAGTAGTTAAAAGCAAAAAAACCCACACACCACTTTCCTTATACCCAGAGATCAAAATCTGTAATTCTTCACTATTAAAAATTCATTGGTTTGGACAACACTGTCCTTTAAACAAAAGCATGCATTCATGTACTTCAACTAGTATTTATTTTGAAAACTGAAATTAGCTGGCTATTGTTGAATATTTTAGAGAGTTCTATGAACTTCATGAATTCAGAATAATCAGTCGACATCCAGTTTTGCATTTATAAACAGATTTTCAGGTGATTTCATAAAAGAAAAACCAGAACACAAACACATTAAACACTCCTCACCATTTCAAAGTTTCTATTATGACCATCTAGTGAAGGAGACCAAGCATTTCCTTTTGCAAAACAGAATATCCAAATGAAGAAAAAAAAAAATTATGCTAATTCATCTGGGATAAGCTATGAAATAAAAAAGCATGCAGGCAAGTGAGACTGAGGATCATTTAAAAAGAAAAAGTAAATCGCTACACATAATGTTACTTTTTAGTTCCACAACACTGGTTTCTGAAAGCTAAATAGTAATTTCATTCTTACTTCAGGAAATGAACTTGGTCGTTTATTTTGCTCTTGTATAGGGCTTTCACTTCTGTCATCAGATCAACCACCTCCTTCTGCTGCTGTCTATCATAAGGAGTGTGGGAGTGGAAGTGTGTTCAAGAAAAGTGTAATTTTATGCTAGCTGTAGGTTTTTGTTTAAAGAAGACTAAGGACTAAAGATTGCTCAAGCCTAATTTGCTCGTAATAGGTTGGGCATATTTAGTCCCAGTTGCCCAAAAAGTCATCTCAGAGCGTCCTACGCTCAGAAAACACTGAGTTCTTTGGGTGACTATAATGGCAGTAATCAGTTATCTGTATGCCCAATGAATATGGATATAGCTTCAAATAAATCTCCCATCTGTCTCCTGATCCAGAGAAGGTATTTTCCTCAGGTAGTATTCACTGCACCCAAGTAACCATACATTCAAAGAAGAGTCTTTAGCATTCCAAACGCTTGAGTGGAAATGCACCTTTTGCTAGTCTTGAGACACAGTCTCTGTACATGCTCCTCATCCTAAGCTATTTAGCTAAGCTGCCCTACTAGCTCTCTTGCCCCAAATATGATTAGGCATCAGCCTGGAAGTCACTAAGAGCAGCAGCAGAGTCCCTGCTTTTAATTCAGTTGTGATAAACAGGTACAAAAATTTCTTGGACTAACTTTGTATAGCCTTGAGCTGGCAGAATTACATTGAGTATTCTGGGACCATCTGAACATGTAAGGGGACAAGTTTCATTGACCTGCGGTTATCATATACATGCATAATCTATGCCAGAAGCAGCAAGAATTGTGATAATGCTCTATAGATAGATGTGCTGGAGCTTTAAAGTCTTTTCTCAAACATTATTAAACTGTGGTTAAATAAGCTTTTGAATTTGAAAAAAAAAAAATCTGATTCTGACAGCTTCAGTACAAATAGTTAAAGTTCAGCCAAGTCCACAGCAACTGAAAACAATGTCTTATAATGAGGTATATGAGAATGACAACCCCTACTTCTGTTAAACACTAATGAAAATGTTTCAATACTTTTAGCAGAGTCTGGCCTGAAACTTCTTAATGCCCAGCATTTTTTCTAATACGCTATTTACTTAAATAAGTGCAAAAGCCCAAACTGTATATTAAAGCAATTCACAGTTTAATCTTCAACTCTGCAATGTCGATTTCTCTGCCTTTGAAGCTTCACCTCTCCACAAAGCCAGTTGTTCTAAACCTAAATATTTTTTCTTCTTCCCCCTCTCAGTACCTCCAGCATATCACTGCATTTCCAATAAAGATATGGAGAGCCAAATACACCATGAAATGAAGTGCAACTTCCATAGGTTTTTTTTTTCCCATATAACATTCTCTTATCTGTTTTCAAGTGTAGTATTTTTCAGTACCACACAGGAGACACTCTTGCTAAAAGCACAAATTACTATTACCACACTATTTCAGTACTTCATGTCTTTGATGCTACAAAACAGTAGAGAAATAAGAGATCCATGCAAACGTCTTCAAATTGAATCTACTACAGTTTAAAACATACCTGCTACATCATTCTCTTTACTAAAGCCAGTCCTTTTTATTTCCCTCCTCCATTCCTCATAACTGTGTGGCTACACTACAACATGTTAATACTAATCCTATTTTAGGGCATTTTATTCTCATTTCATCCAACACAAATACATTCTGGATTTTTTGGCCTAGCTTCTCCTTTGCACTCAAGTTTACAGCCCTTACACAGAACTGTCAGTTTTGAACCTGAGTATTATAATGTGGTAAGACAGAGTGTGCATGCATACCGGTTTCAGCTGCAGGGTTTAAGTATTTACAGCGAAGCATGAGAAAGTTTGCAATGCAAATTTAATAGATGCAGTTTTCAAAAGCCTCTAGAAACTGGACTTTTTTTTTAAATTCAGGTTTGGAATTTTATATTGACCCGGCTTTTATCCCTCATTTGAACATCTATAATGAGCAATATAAAAAGATGCAAACTTTTCAAACTTAACTCAAATTTAGGAAAGTAGATAAACAATGTAAGTAGTACGTGTTGCTCTTGCACAATGAACCCTTCTTGCATTTGTAGTTGAGTAGGTGATTCTTCTATACAAGTGTCAACAACAGAGCTATTCGGAGATATTACACTGCACATTTTTACAATGTAGCTGCTGCTTTTTTCCAGTAAACAGTCACAAGCTGTTCCAGACACGGAACAGCAGTCAACACTTCCATGTGACTCGAACAGTCAAAGAATGATCTCAGGAGACAAGAGCAGTTTGTTTAAACTCTGACAGGAAACCAGAAGAAAAATTACAGGTTGCCACCCTTATATAAAAAGCCTAATCATCTTTAATAAAAATATTTCTACATTGAATACATGAATCACAAAAATAACACAAGAGACTGCAGGATCTATCTAGCTAATACACCTTCCACTTAACACACAGCCTCAGAAACTCTGGAATTTCAGAAAAATTTTGCTGTATCTCCCAAAAGCACATGCAATTTGTTTCATATTTCGGATGTTAAGAGAATTCATGGTATATATCTAATGCACCATAATGCATAACCCACTACAATCCAAATAAAATTCAGAAAGCAGAGCATGCACACATGGGAATTGGAGACAACTGAGGCATGACTAATAATTATGAATTCAGTGATCAGCAGAACAAGTCATCAATAGGTATCACAGCTGTTGTGCGACACCACCAGTTTTGTCTCCCCAGCCTGCAATCATACTAAGTGATTCTGGTCTAGGCTTCAGGGCAACTTATTTCTGCAAAATTTGAAAACACAATCCCTAATCAGTAACATCCTAAAATAAAGGATGTTCTACGCTATTTTGCCTACTACTGAACAATATTTTTGTAATTTTTGGTGCCATGCCCCACAGGATCAAGTTTAATTTTTTTGGTTTTTTATCTTATGAAGGTAGTAATTTGTAACTTACTATCAGAACTCTCAATCTATCACCCTGCACACATGCAGATTACACAAAATACCTAAAAAATTTTCTTAGCTTTTTTGTGTATTTTGTGTCAGTTTTATCACTATTTGTTATCAATTACAGGGCAATCGGACAATAAGTAAATTTGATAGATCTGAAAAACTAAGCAAGAACCGCTAGAATCAGCACCGCATTAGAACTTGTAATTGGAAATTTCTGTATTTTCTCTAGAGACAAGGGTCTGAATTCTTTATAGCAGTAGGAGATGCATAAATAATCCTCTTTCACCTATATAGCCAGTTCTCATGTTTGCTATTTTAAGATTCTATATTATCTTAGCTTAAAATTCAAGAAACGTGCCAACAAAGAAAGTGACCTCAAGTTATTTCCAGGTTTTCAGTTGCTCACCGAAGCAGCTGCCAAACCCTTCCATCCAAAAGACCTTCTAGCACAGTTTTGCTGCCTATGAATACAGAAGGAATATAGCAGAACAGCATCTCTTAACCTTAGTTTTCAGGGAAGAAGGTTGATTGAATAGCATCTAGGACCACAACCTTACTAACGTAGCAGGTGAAACAGACTGAACAGTATTCAGCAAATCTAACAATACAGACTGAATACAAAAATGCTGCACAATGAAATAAAGTAACTGAGCAGTTTACAAGATGACATATTTATGCTGTATTGTGTATATATATACACACACATACATACATATGATAGATACATACAGAGAGAGACACAGCACATGTGCACAGGCATATATACATATGTTAAAATGCTAACACAGAGTATTTCTAGCACATAAAGAACCTGATACTTTCTAGAGGAAATGAATGGCTGACATCAGACTCCATAAATGAACAATGCAAATCCTACAGGCTCAGGAAGTTTGCAGGTACCCTACACATTGCTAAGGGAACTTTTTCAATCCTGTACTAGCGGCATAAGAATAAATTTATTAGTATAAACTTTCTTTAATGAGCACTGAAGTTCTAGATCAAAATCTGAATATGTTTAGTGTATGTTGAAGGTCAAATAGACATAAGGACAATAGAGGGTATTAAGTACTTTATGCAGTCATATAACTCCTACCTAAATTCATAAAAACCTAGCACCTGAATACACTTAGGAAACTAAACCCCTGTTCCTCATTTATAATGTGATAGTGATTATACCCAATTAAGACAACAGAAAAACAGCTTGGTTATGTGAAAGTCTAAAAAGCTTACAATAGAAAAGCTAAAGTTAATTCAAGTAGCCATTTAACCATTAAAAATGCACATTAATGAGTTCACTTGTATTTAGAAA